TATACAGTAATTTTAAAGGCAATACACAGATTGTAAAAAAATATATATATAAATCATAGGTATACTGTATTATATAAATAAGGCAAGAATTCAGTAAGGTATAGTAAACAGGAGTTTATAGATAGATATGTAGATGATATAAGAGTTCTTACTTATAAAGATATTTTATATAACAAATACTAGTGCCACAAATAGCTGGTAAAAGTTAATAATACAGATTTGTACAGAGAATGTTCAGATTATGTACAGAATATATGTTATATAAAAGCAATAATACAATCCAAGTGCATGTGTGTGTTTACATCTTGATTGATATAGACTAATTAGCCTGCTCAAGATTCAGTTTGGTGGTATATACCTACTCTCAGGGTGGTGACCATTCTCATGCTGTCCTCTGACTCTCAGGGTGGGCACCAGTTATATTGTGTCCTCTGACTCTCAGGGTGGGCACCAGTTCCGTTGTGTCCTCTGACTCTCAGGGTGGGCACCAGTTATATTGTGTCCTCTGACTCTCAGGGTGGGCATCAGGTCCGTTGTGTCATCTGACTCTCAGGGTGGGCACCAGTTTCGTTGTGTCCTCTGACTCTAAGGTTGGGGACCAGTTTTTGCTGCCCTCTGACTCTCAGGGTGGGCACCAGTTCCATGTTTTCCTCTGAATCTCAGGTTGGGAACCAGTTCTGCGATGCCCTCTTACTATTAGGTTGGGGACAAGTTCTGTGCTGTCCTCTGCCTTTCAGGGTGGAGACCAGTTCAGTGGTGTCTTCTGACTCTCAGGGTTGGGACCAGTTCCGTGGTGTCCTCTGGCTCTCAGGGTGCTGATCAGTTTTTATTTTTTATGACCCTTTAAGACTTCGGGTGGAGACTACATGGCTGAATACAGTTAAACAATGACCAAGGTTGTGTCAACTGCGGAACGTATTTGGCACAAGTTGACATTGTCACCGCTTTTCTGACGAAACACACTTATCGTCTGATGTATCAACATACCTGTGGTATTTCCATTACGAAGAGAGCAAGAGATTTCCGTATAAAAAATACAAGAGACTTTTTTCTGGAGTTGTGAACATTTCTATTGTACTTAAATGAGTCAACCTTGCAACTGTCAAGTATTAAATAATTAAAGAAACTTCTCATAAAGCAAGTGTTTTCAGCCAATTAATATTTCATCTAGCTATCTTACCGAAAAAAAGTAACTTATTACAAAAGAAGCCCTAAGTATTATTGCGATTAAAAATTACCCTGCCTCGTTTTCAAAACCATCGTGCATGAACCTATACCTTTCAAACGTCCATAAAGTACATTCTCCACTTCCAGTTTCTTTCACTAAATCTCCCTCCCAGTGTATGCACAGTATCTGGGATCCAAAATTTATCTTATCTCTTAGAAGTAATACAGTGAACTAAAACTGAAGGTTGTCCTAAACAAGAAAATTGTAAGCGACTTCACCGCCTCGGCTGTGGACAGGCACTCACCCTGTTACATTAATATAGGGCGCACTCAGAACAAGTTGATCTGCGGACTAACAGATCCGCGGACCAACCATGGCGCCACCCACTTGAAAGCGTGCCGAGATTTAGTTGCTCTGCCCCTGCTGGGACGGCGCCTGTAGGAGGCGGGAATCCATTGTCCTAAAGTGCGTGCTATGTTTGATACGCGGACCAGTTACTTCGCGGATCAATTTTGTTGTGAATGTTCACATAGACAACATAAGTCGATAAAAAGTCCAGTCTCGCACAGAATTGGCCTGTTTTAGTTTATATAACGTTAAATATAAAATATAAATTATTATTTGAAAATATGTGTGAGTTTTATATTCAAACGGCGGCAATATTAAACAATTTTTTATCCCGTTATTTATTTATTCGCAAATTTACATTTTTTTGGGAAACGATGCAACACTGTTCTCTAATGGCCCCTGAATCAACGGCAAAGAATCAACAGAATTATCAGTCTCCAAATTTGTGAATTGTCAGCCATAGCACCCAATTAATTCCTAAGAGATAATAATTCCTGGAGAAAGAAAAGGGGTGAATTGTTAAAAAAAAGGCAGAATATTTTCAAACCACAGGGATGCACCCATACAGTTTAAAAATATAAGACTATGATTTGCTTAATTTCCTTGCAGGTTCGATTGTCCCATTAAGACAGGACGAAACAAACAATCAAATATATTGATATATTAATGTACACAACCTACTGTTCAAATTAAATGTGTTTTTGTTGTTATATAGAGCTCTATAATCGAAACAATACGACATCAAAAGTTATAGTCCTGTTTATACCAGTATTGCGCCGAATGCAAATGCTGACGTTTACATGTACTTGCAAAAGACTATGTTTTGCCAAGGAGTTATAACTCCTTGGTTTTGAATACAACAAATAACATAAATAAACTATCCGCAGATTTCACCAAGCACAAAATGCTGCTCATAAGGCCGCTTTCTAGCCCGCAGGCGAAGACACTGTGAACAAGATAGACTGCCAACAGTATATTATGTGCTATATCAATTTCTCGTTATTGTCATTATAACGGTGCGACAGATGTCGTTGATGCCTGCGCTTTGGGAAAGTTGCCTTGCGCTTCATTTCTCGTAGTTTTGCCCTCTGTGTCCTATAAGCTGATTATAAGCTGATTAAAAAGCTACGTTTAATGATAATAAAAAGAGCGTTGTTTTTTATCGTTTGGAAAAGGATATTCAAAATTCAAAATAAACTTTTCTCCATTGTCATTCTCTTCCTACCTATCACTTATCTCTTCTCTGTTCTAATTCTCGACCAAATGAGTATCGCATTGCCACTTGTTTCGAGTTTTTATTGGATTTGGTAACGGTACTCAAAATGGGTCTCTCTTTCCCGTTCGAGTTCATCATTCACTTGTTTTCCTCTTTATATGAATCATCATGACTGCGGTCATAATACAATGTTCTATCTCAGCCTGAGGCGGGCGCATTGTGTTAGGCTAATAGCGACACAATAACTTGGCAAAACCCTGATGAATTTCGAACAAAATAGATTTTGCCTCCGAACACAGAAATTTCTCTCTCTTTCTCTCCTTTTATTCGCCGCTTTCCCCCTTTTCCCCATGCCTGTTTCTCATTATCTCTCTCTAAATAAATTTAAAAAGAAAGAGCGACATGAAAAATATTATCAGATTTTCATGATTCCTATTTCATACTGAGCAGTATTGGAGAATAAGGAAGCAATGATTGAAAAAAAATGCTTAAAGAAACAGTACGTTGGGAAGATATCGCCTACGAATATGTCATGACGTATGGCTACATCTAAATCGCCATTCTCTCTCTCTCTCTCTCTCTCTCTCTCTCTGGTTTTTTTTTTTATAATATGCAGACGAAGAGAGGAGTAGATGAATGCAACCCACGTCGCTGCCTAAAATAAAATTCATTCTTCTGCAGGGAAGCAAAAGACAAAATTTGACCACCACACTCCCCCTTCCATGAACACACACACACACACACACACTAGCTTAAAAAGTCCTTTCCTTTACATGAGGACCAAACGCACATTTTTATCCCCCTCCCCAACAAACACATAAACATTAAATATCTAGGTCGTTATATGTGTACCTTTTGATAAAAAAAGGCGATACGCACCCGTTTCCTCTTTGGCGAGAACAGTTGGAACAAAACGTGCGACGTGCTTTTATTTTGGCTCGGATGCATTTTTACATGTTATTTGCCAAATTTTCCCAATATATCAGCTTCGCACCTGTCATCCGGTTTATTCTATTCAGAGGACAAGCATTCTCTTCGTCTGACAAGTGTTGTCGAAATGTTTTACATGTACGTCAAGCTTGTGCTTGCACAGTAGTCGCCATCAGTGTAACAGGGAGGGGCCAGAGAAACGCAATAACTGGAAAATTATCAAGGAGGACTAAGACAGTGGACTGTGAAATCGCCCCAAAAAAAGACACGATGAGGATCATTGCAAAGAGTTTTTGTTTTATTTTCATTTTTATCTTCGTTTTGTTGAAAAGAGGCTGCTGTGAATACACGAGGAGCGCATGTGCGGGTAATAAACAGCGAAGTTTAGTAAGCGATCCGGAAAATTGTAACAGGTATTTGTAGACTTCAGTACTTTATTCCTCAAGTTGATTCATCTTCATTATTAATTCAGCACAACAAGATGACGCTGGAAGATGAAAAACAGCAATGGCGAAAAGAAATAATTCCAATACAAAAAAAAACTTAGAGCTAATTTGCGAGTAAGAAGAATTTCTGAAAGATTCTCTTCAGCTGTTTTGTGAACTCTTTTTTTAAAGCGCATTTTAGCGATGATTTGTGTAACGGTGTTGCTCTTCCTCAAAATCAACCGATCTACTTTTCATTTTCTAGAAATAAATAAAAGGACATGCAGTGAGGAAAATTCAAAGGGAGAAGGAGGTGGGGGGGAGGGAGTGCATGTCTCAATTTAAGGGTATTTTAACTCTTCGGGGTGGCACTGGGGGTCTGTCATGACGTACGTCGGATTCCCAGAGGGGAAAACAATCAATTATCATTTTCTGCCTCTCTTTGCACGACATGTTTCCATTAAATAATATGATAGGATAAAATGTGTGTGTGTGTGTTTGTGTGTGTGTGAGAGAGAGAGAGAGAGAGAGAGAGAGAGAAGTGGTGGGCACCATCCCCCTAGATCTGTCCATGACATATCTACAGTACTTATCTACAAATTCTGTCTGTACGGCAGGTTCATCGTGTGTTGGTACGGCTACCCAGTGTACACGCTGTCCTGTCCAGATGGTCTTCACTGGAACCCAGTTGTACACACCTGCGTCCATCTCCGGGATTCTACATGTGACTGTAAGTATTCCAGGGAGAGTGCCTTAATTTGGTGTGTGTGTGTGTGTGTGTGTGTGTGTGTGCGTGTTTTGAAGAGTTGTGGATTCTTTTTTTGTAGAAAAAAATTCGGATGTTACCGTTTGTATAATTAGTGTATTATATTTATTTAAATAATGCTCGGAGCCTATTTGTACCAATCAACCAATGAGCGCATATTTTACATGTGGATTAGTCATCTGCCAATTCCAGTAAAGAACGTGCTTAGAACTGTAATAGTCTACATTGTTTGACACCCAACGGACTTTGATAAATGGACCCCCGCAGCCTAACCATAGATTTTCATATTTTCAGCATCAAAAGGTGATCAGAGCTCATTCAGTTTTGAAGAACCGTCCAGTCGCCAAGGTGGCACGAAGACAGACTCGTCTGCTGGCGGTGATAGCGAGGCCTCGTTATCGTCAGCCTCCGCCCTGACGTCATCAGAAGCATCAGGTGATGGGGAGGAGGATTTATATGTCACATCCAAGAGTAAGGGGGGCTAAAACTGGCATTTCCCATTTTTACCATTATAGCTCGTAGAAATACCTAATTCTTTTTGACATCATATTGATATATAGCATTTCCTGTCTTCCAGGTCTGACAAATGCCCTTTATTTAGGACCTATTTCTCCTTAAAGGGCATCACAAAAAAAAAAAATAAATAAAATAAAATAAATAAATAAAAAAAATAAATAAATAAATAAGAGACGTTGTTTAATCGGTATGTTCAGTAACTTATACTGGGTTTGTTTCTGTTTGTGAAAATATATTTCTTTACGAATGTCATTTTAATATTTCTTATCATGGCGTTGTTATATTACAGTACACCACTTGTGTATGAAACATAACTGGGGCAATAATCCGGAACCGACCGACTGCAGCCGATATCTCTCCTGCTCAGGCGGAACGGTCGTCGCCAGGATGCGATCCTGTCCATCCGGTTTGCTGTTCCATCCCGGACTTCAAATTTGCACATGGCCGACTGACGTAGATTGCGGAGATCGCCCTTATCCAGGAGTAGCACCTGTTTCTACCACCTTTTCTGGCAGTAGTACTAGAAGAAGTACAACCGTTCCTACAACTAGAAGCACTGGCATTGATCCTCTGTGTATGACACGCAAGTATGGCAATAATCCGGAACCAGACGACTGCAGCCAATACCTCTCTTGCTCAGGCGGAATTGTTGTCGCTAGAAAAAGGCCCTGTCCATCCGGTTTACTTTTCCATACTGCGCTACAAATTTGCACATGGGCAGCTACAGTTAACTGTGGAAATCGCCCTAATCCAGGTGCTACTTCTACCACTGCTCAGACTACTAGCACTACTCCTGCAACAACGCATACCATAACAACGGTTACTACGACAACCAGGCGTCCCATGACGACGACATCACCCTCTCCAGCTATGACTAGTAGTGTTATGCCTATTTCCTCCACTGCTTCTATTAGCACTCAAAGAAGTACACCGAGCTCTGCAGCAGAAACTACAAGAAGCACTGACCCTCTTTGTATGACGAGAAAGTCGGGAAACAATCCGGAACCTAACGACTGCAGCAAATATCTGTCTTGCTCTGGCGGAACCGTCGTCGCTAGGATGCGATCCTGTCCATCCGGTTTGCTTTTCCACCCTGCACTACAAATTTGCACATGGGCAGCCTCAGTTGATTGTGGAGATCGCCCTTTGTCAGCTGCAAGCACTTCTTCTACCACTGCCCAGACTACTAGCACTGCTCCTGCAACAACGCATACCATAACAACGGTCACTACGACAACCAGTCGTCCCATGACGACGACATCACCCTCTCCAGCTATGACTAGCATTACCATGACAATGTTCTCCACCTCAGGCACTAATAGCCAAAGTAGTTTAACACCCTCCTCTAACCCCGGGACAGGCGGCGGTGGGGTGGACCCTCTCTGTGTAAAAGAGGGTGACAACCCGGACCCCAGCAGTTGCAGCCTCTATCTGTCATGCGCACACGGCCGGGTTGTTGCTAGGATGCGGCACTGTCCCACTGGACTCTTGTTTGATTCTGTACTGCGGATGTGCAACTGGCCCGCTTACGTAGACTGTGGCCACCGCCCTTTGCCTTGACTGGACCATGCTACTTAGAAAGAGAAGGTAGAACATTTAAGATATGTCGTTTTGTCTTACGTGGTGTCCGTAGTTAGTAGTATTTCCTCATTTAAATGTTGAAATATCTTAGATACCAGTATAGGACAATATTGAAAATCGCAGTATAAAATATATCGTATCCTTTTATTTAATGGTTGTGTATTGTAGTATTGATATTATATCTGTATTATTAAAAAGTCACGCCTGTTAGCGAGCGGAGCAGATATCATATAAATGATGTCTCTCTCTTCATCAATACAGAATAAAGGATTAATTAAAAAGTATATTTAATCCAAACCTAAATCATTGTAATGTGCTTTGTCATAGATATTTGTGTATATATAAAATATGTCAAAATCTTACCATATGCGGCATCAAGCATTAAAAGGTTGTGGCAAGGGGTTCTCTTTGATTAAATACTACATGTATAAGGACGACCTTTAAAAGTTGAGTTTACTTGTATGCAAGTACGACGAAAACTTCTCAACGGTTGCTCATTGACTGCCATTTTATATTCATTTTATATTATATTCTGTTAATATCATCTGAAGGCCTCTTCACAGAATACACTTGCAGAACTTGGTTTTAGAAAAATTAATAAATTATATATCAGAAAATAAAGATGGATAAATAGTGTTATGAACGACGTAAAAGAGTAATATGTTATCAAATATATTGGACGGATAACAAGCACAGTTTTTTTCAGATTTGACTATTTTAAAATCGTCCACTATGTCTTATTACAATTTTGCATAATGCTGCAAGGCTATTCAGTGGCACAAAGAGTTTTTTTTACTCGCTGGTGTTCAATGATAAAATTATTGTTCTAAAACACTGTGGCGATATTATGTTTACTTATGTATCAAGTGTTATGCTTTCTGAAAACACTAATATTCCACGATAGTGGACTTTTAAAAAATCAATTGATATTTTATCAATTAACGGGAGACACTCTCAACTGCGAACAGCAAGTGTGACGACTAAATAAAAAGGCCTTAAAGTGTATTATTATTATTATTATTATTATTATTATTAGAAATAATAATTCATAATTTATAATAATATTATTAATTATTTGGGATAATATTTTTCATGATTTTAACTGAAAAAGATAACGTTAAACGTATTTTTGAAAAAAAAAATAGAAACCTTAGAACCAATTTTACTTACATTTTTTCTTTGCCGGCGTCATTTCTTCATATTAAAGAAAAAAATGTTGGAAAAAAGTCAGTATTGCGATGTTATCCGTGTTTTTTTTTTAGAATATTATTTGGGCACTAAAAATAGTGCAATAAATCAGCAAAAGTTATGTGCTGAAGGACCCTCCACCCCAACGTCGCTTGCGCCATGAAAGCCTTGTTTGTGTATGGTTTCTCTCTACACCCTATTGTATTAATTGCGTTAGTTGCGAACGTCAATGCACGACACAATCAGCTTAGCTTAATTCGAGACTGCTTTAGATGTGACGAGCAGCACATTCTTCGAAATGCACTAGATCATTTTTGTCGACTCACTATCCCTACAGCGAGAGAGCTCTCAATGCCCGAAGCAAAACTTATGGTAATAATAAGATGTAAAACTGTCCTCCGGAAGCTGAAGGCATCCTCGATCTGTTATAACGGCCGTCTGCCCAGGTGGACCTTGTTACTTACTGTAGCACAGGTACATATGTTTATGCATAGAGTGAAGACGAGAAATAGGCCTTCAAGGGTTCATTGCATGGTCCGAAGGTTCTACGGTGAACAATCGGACCAATGAACCTTCGGACTATTGCTACGGCCCCACCCTATTCTGTGGCCGGGTTAGTGTACACATTAACAATAATAATTTGAGGACACATACCTCACAATTAGAGAGAGAGAGAGAGAGAGAGAGAGAGAGAGAGAGAGAGAGAGATGTCTCTTGTTGATAAAAGCGTTTGATTTGGTTGTTGAAATTTATAACAATTTATAACACCATTATCCCAAAGACCCGAAGATGGATTGTAGAGGTCCATGTTACTCCCTTCCCTGATTCTAACTGAAATACCGCGTAATAGCTATTGAACCTTGGGGTGGGGGGGGGGGATATAACAGCCTCCCATCTTCAGTGCCAATTCAAAAGTCCCTGTATTCTGGCTAGAATGCATGCTTTTAAGCACTTTAAAATACACTTTATCTGCACATCGGTGGCCTCTACTGATTTACATATATACCAGTATATATATATATATATAGTATAATGTTAACAGGTGATTGTTCGTACTAATAGGTTTTTAGATGTGCATCTGTATTTAACATTCCGGTCAGAGAATGATAAATATTCATGCAAAACGGAAGCAAATTAAATGATTGACTCATATGATTACACACCTTTAATCTCTTCCTTTCCCACAAAAATATGGTTACATAAACATTTCACTTTTAAACGATACTACACTTCTCAAAGATACCTTTTATAGGTCATTACACTTTAATAATCTAAAACACAACCATCTACAGAAATTAAAGTGCATGTGGTTGTTAGGTTGGTGCATCTTTTGTATTATGTAACACAAACGGTTGTGGTCCGTATTACAATAGTCATTTGCGTACAGAGCCTTTGGATGTAGAAGGTACATTTATTATCACTAATAAATATTAAAATTGAGGGATAGGGGATCTAAAAAAAAGCAAAGGGTAGATTGTTCCCATTAGCCGTCTATTTCTTGGGCCTATGACACGTGGTTACAAAAAGTAGGGGTTGGTTAGCCCTCAACCCCCCTCCCCACC